AATAGTTTAGACTTGATAGAGACAATGTGGTGAAAGAAGTGAAGGTATTTTTTTTTAAATTTTTTATTGGATTTTAGGTTTTGGGGTACATGAGCAGAGCATGCAAGACAGTTGCATAGGAAAACACATGGCAGTGTGCTTTTCTTTCCTTCTCCCCTTCACCCACATTTGGCATTTCTCCCCAGGCTATCCCTCCCCACCTCCCCCTCCCACTGGCCCTCCCCTTTTCCCCCCAATAGACCCCAGTGTTTAGTACTCCCCTTTCTGTGTCCATATGTTCTCATTTTTCATCACCCGCCTATGAGTGAGAATATGCGGTGTTTCATTTTCTGTTCTTGTGTCAGTTTGCTGAGGATGACGTTCTCCAGATTCATCCATGTCCCTACAAACGACACAAACTCATCATTTCTGATTGCTGCATAAGACCTGGAATCAACCAAAATGCCCATTGATAATAGACTGGATTGGAAAAATGTGGCACATATACACCGTGAAGGTATTTTTAATAAGGAAACTGATAAGTGAGCTAAGGTGTTTTGCCATGTAAGCAATTACTCTCAAATAATTTCCATTTTCCCAGAGGAAACTTCTGATTCTTTGAATAAATTTATTTGCAAAAATTAATGAATAAAATGGTAAAGTTATTCATTGTTTTATAACTTTTTCTCTTTATGCCAAGATTCCTCTGAACAAATAAGGAAGTTGACACAAATAGCTTTATTTCAGAGTCCAGATATAATTAGTCCTTGGAGATATAGGTCTTCTCAGTTCTGTTGACCATTTCACCGATTCAAATAGAAGAAGTTTTTGTATTTAGTAAATTTACGGTTAAATGATGTAGGCTGACTGGTCCAAGTCTGAGATTTTATGTAATTTTTAGTCATTCTCAAAGAACCTAAGGGATTAAGTTTATTGATAAATTCTATTTCATATGGTTATTTTTCAAATTCTATTTCATATGGTTATTTTTCACTCTTGTGTCTCAAGTACAGATGCAGTTAGTAATACACAGGTTGTTCACCACATGTTTTGAATGAATGGTATCTTGTTGAATTTGTAAATATTGATACAACGTTTAATCTACCCTCTGTGCTAGGTCTCAGTGCATTTGATATATCAATAAAATAATAAAAATAATAAGAAGAAATACTCACTTTATTATTATTGTTAGATGGAATCTCACACTGTTGCCCAAGCTGGCATGCAGTGGTGCAATCTCTGCTCACTGCAACCTCTGCCTCCCGTGTTCAAGCAATTCTCCTGCCTCAGCCTCCTGAGTAACTGGGACTACAGATGCACACCACGACGCCCAGCTATTTTTTTTTTTTTTTTGCATTTTAGTAGAGATGGGGTTTCACAGTGTTACCAAGGCTGGTTTTGAACTCCTGAGCTCAGGCAGTCTGCCTCAGCCTCCCAAAGTGCTGGGATTACACCCATGAGGCACCACGCCCAGCCAGAAATACTCATTTTCATGGAAAACACATATATGTATAAATTTGTCTATATATACATATATGTATTTTCATGATTCAAAAGCAATCATAACCCAGGGTATGAATATGCCGGTATAAACATATGTATATATACATACATCTACATATATGTATATACATATGTATTTATACATATATCTACATATATGTATATAGACATATTTATACATACATATACATATATGTATATATAGACATATTTATACCCTGGATCGTGATTGATTTTTTAATCCTAGATTGCCTGCATATCGTCTGACATGGGGTCAATAAAATTTTAGTTTCTTCAGGAAAACAATGATTTTCTAGGTTTGTGAAAAAAGTATGATTTTATTTGTCAAAAAGTAAATTATGAAAGTTTCCTGAAAGTGCTGTTTAAATTCCCAAGTATGATTCATCATAAGGAGGATTTACTGCTGGTCACAATATTCCTAGTTGAATTCATTAATTTGTAACCACTCCTGGGAATGTCAGTGCCTGAAAGATCATGTTAATTTTTAAACTTGAAACTACATAACAAAAAAAGGTCCCTTGACATATGTGTGTGTTTGTGTAAAGTGAGTATTGTATATGTGAGTAGAGTGGGGAAAAGCAACAGGAAAGCAGATATAGTTTATCATTTCAGAATCCTAAGATAGTTTCCATGTATATTCAGTAGAGGTTCATATATGAAATAAACATGAATTCAGCTATTGCAGAATTCAAAGAGATGTCTGTTATGCAATAAACTTTTGAGAATTCCGTGTGTGTGTGTGTGTGTGTGTGTGTGATAGAAAAATGTCCATAGTACATTTTTAAAAATTAACTTCAGAGTGACCTGAGATGAGACCAACACTTAAAAAGTGATTTTCAAGTTACTTGCTGAAAAGAACTCAGTACTTGGGCCACTTGTGGTGAATTCCTAGAAAGCAATGAAAGGTGACTTCAAATTAAAAAGAGAAGGTGGCTTTTCAGGAGATTACTATCCTCAAGAGAGAGCTGCATGAATAATAAGGATGCTCAATCAAGATCACAACATTCTTGATTTTGGACATGGAGAAGAAAGCTTCCTGTAGGACTTTAGCAAACACTGTATCTTGAAATACCAGGTGAGAGAGAAAGCATGGTTCACCTGCATTTGCAAAAAGACTAATATCAGAGAGACTTTGGATAAATGAGTGAGCAGAGAAACTCTAGCATGTGATACAAAAAAAGAAATCGCAAGAAACTAGAGGATGTTTCTTTCTGTGAAACTATTCCCAATTTGTTTTTTCTTAAGAACCTGGTATTGAACCAAATAGAAAGAAGTGAGTTTAATCTATTCCTTATCTGGAGAAGTACAGAACTATCCTTGCCTATGAAAACATTGCCTACAGAAACACTGACCATAGGTTTGGCTTCATTCCTAACATGGATAACCTTTTAAACCAAAGACTATAGATTCTGAAAGCATTTTAAAAAAAAAAAAAACCCATAAATGAGAACAAATCTTGAGAAGGAACCTGGTATTAAACCCTTAACACTGGAAGTCCTGATGATTTGGACTAAGCAGAATGGGTTCTTATCAAACAAAGAGTGAATTTCCTAGACTCCCTCCTACCCTCTCTGTCCTTCCAACAAAATTCAAAAAGTTTAAAAAAGCTAATAAAGCTTCTGAGTCTAACAACAATTTTCTTATCTTTATAAAAGATAATGTGTACAGTTTTAGTTAATCTCCTATAATTTCTTCTGAGTATCACATCCAAATGGACTCAGATTGAGGTTTGGAGAAACTAAATAACATGTCAAATGAAAGTAGCAACAAACAGACAGGATTCTCATGATTCTTCTTTATTATACCAGGGCAAGGCCAAGAGACTTTGAAGAAAAGTCTTTTATTGCTATTGTTGTTATTATTATTGTCTTTCTCTAGGAATCTTCTCCTGACCAAAGTTAAACTAAGGTGGAATTTGATAGGAGCAGCTGGGAAATACTCAGGACACCACAGCTAGAGTGTCTATGCATCACGAAAGGAATAAAGGTTTTGAAGAGTATATCTTTACAAAAGCCTACTAGCAATACCAGGACTGACATTAGTAAGTGAAGATAGGTAAGGAAGTGGGATGATCAATATATGCAGGCATTTGTGTGGTTGTTTGTGAAGATGACGGTACATGGATATGAAGAGTATGTAAGTAGTTTCACGAATACAGAATGCAGCTGAGAGGTGGACTCAAAAAAAAAAAATGTGTGTTTTGCTATTTGTGGGAAGGAGACTCAGTGTATCCACAGCTGATTTTATCTGGAAAGATAAGTTTCTGTAACAGACAGCATGAAAATGGTCTTATATCTCACATATTGTACATTATAGTTGAATATTTGGTAGGCTCCTCACTCCTTCAATTAAAGCAGCTAGTTATGCTAGCTTAAATCTTTGATACAAAAGTAAACACAGTTTAGAGCCAAGCACATAGAGGAACATAATTAATATTTATTGAATACTTGGATGAATAACAACACCCATATTGAACTAAATCAATAAAAGTGGCATTATAAAATATTCAGTTATTTAATGGAGATTACTTGTTAACAAAAACGTGTGTATATATATTACAGGATAACTTTGTAAAGCATCCCTAGATCTTAATTAAAATTAAAAATATTTAGGCTCATAACAGAGAGTCCATGAACACCTTTTTGTAAGAAAACAAACAATCTCTTAAATATTTTAGTATTTTTAATTATAAAGAAAAATTTTCTTTTCTACGTTCTATGTAAAAAAATTACATTCAAAAATATTGCCTGCTATTGTCATACAACAGGATTTCATAACTATGTGACAAAAGATCATTTAATTTTTTAAAATTCATCACAAATTATTTAAAAAATATAACAGAAATAATTTTCTAGCAAAAAAAATGAAATAAAAAACATACAACATACAATAATTATGTATTGTACTCTAATAGCAATTATTATTATTAGATTGTAGTATTATTAGATTATCGAAGCACAGAAGTATTAAATCAAATTAGTATCAAAGTCTGCATATGCTTATTTTCAGTTCAGGTACTCATGCAGAAAATATAGCATACAAAATGTGTCCACGAACTACAGTTTAAATAATACTGTGCAATAGGTATTATTATTGACAAAGAAAGTAAGAAATACCCTGGTCATTATGTGCTACAGTAATTAGAATAACAGGTATGCATTTGGATGAGTTTTTAAAGAACTCTATTTAAATCGTACATCTTACTATAGATTTTTCATTTTAAAATATTATATCAATTACATGACTCAGATAAATATCAAGGCTTCCTTTTTTAAATTTTTTCCTTCAATAAGCCACACTATCTAGGAAATTTGATCAAGAATGGTCTTGTTTTGTTGTCTAAAGGCTCAGATGCTATATATTGGACAACATTTAATCTTACATTAGACATATCTCATGGTCAGTTTAAAACAAGAGATATGGTAAGTAGCCAATTAAATGCCCAAGTCAAATTTTAACACCTGTGTCTGAGAAAATTCATTTCATTCTAGGAAAGGGATGCCATGCTGACATCATGCTTCCTGACAATTGCACCAACTCCATCTTCACCTTCCTGGTGACTGGCATCCCTGGGCTGGAGGCTGCACACATCTGGATCTCCATACCCTTCTGTGCCATGTTCTTCATTACCTTGGTGGGCAACATGACCATCATGACAGTTATCTGGAGAGAGCAGACCCTCCATATGCCTGTGTACCTCTTCCTGGCCATGCTAGCCGCCTCTGATCTGGGTCTGTCCCTCTTCACCTTCTCCACAATGCTGAGGATCCTCTGGCTGGATGCTCGAGAGCTGACCTTTTCTGCTTGCTTTACCCAAATGTTCTTTATCCACACCTTCCAGGATTTTGAGTCAGCCATCATATTGGCAATGGCCTTTGACCGTTATGTGGCCATTTCTTGTCCATTGCACTATTCTTCCATTCTCACCAATAGAGTGATTGCCTGGATAGGTTTGGCTATTGTGTTGCGAACCTTCACTGTACAAGTGCCCCTCCCCATCCTCTTGAGGAGGTTGTGCTTCTGTCGCTCCAATGTACTTTCTCATTCCTATTGTTTGCATCCTGACATCTTAAAACACTCCTGCTCCAACACTAGGATCAATAGCATCTTTGGACTGTTTGTAGTGTTGTCCACTATGGGACTTGATTTTCTCTTTATTCTTCTTTCTTACATATTGATACTAAAAACTGTATTAAGCATTGCATCTCATGGTGGCCGCCTAAAGGCCCTCAACACATGCATCTCTCACATCTCTGCTGTTACTGTCTTCTTCACGCCCATGATCTGTCTTTCTATGCTGCATCGCTTTGGCCCAAGACTTCCTTCACATGTCTATGCGACCATGGCCAATATGCATTTTCTCGTTCCTCCTGTGATGAATCCCATCGTGTATGTAGTGAAAACCAAACAGATTCGAGACAAAATTTTGAAACTTTTAATCAAAAAAGGAACAGAAGAATCCCAAGTAACATTTATAACATAAATATTGCTAAATGGATATAACACTAAATGGTCACTAATCCAACTCTCCTATCTGAGATTTTTTTTTACATGTATCTCTGTGTAGATATAGAGACAAAGAAGCAGTAGGTCCTACTATATTGTATTTTTTGCAAATTGCACTGGGTATAGCATTCTCTTTCAGCTATAGATATTGTTGAAAGTTATCATGTAAATTTTCTTTCTAAAATTGCTTTTCAGCTCAGATGCATTTTTAATCTCAAAACTTGTTTTACAAAATGTGACTTGTGGTTTACTCTTCCATTTTCTAAAAGACAAACCCTTAATTAGGCTTTGCACCATGTTGATTCATCATCTAAATTGAATAACTTCCCATTCATTACATCAATATTTAGATGCATTTAATGTATAAAAGATAATCTCTTCATTGTCTTTCCATAATTCATGCCAAATAGGTTGCTACTTCTTATAGAGCAACATAGATTGAAATAGCAATGGTGAGCAGGACATACATTCTTTCCTAGATCAGTTGGATGAAATAGTTAGGATCATTGTTTTTTATAAGATCACTTTTAAAAGGTGATTTTAAAAAATGATGAAGTTGCTGGTATTGTTGACACTTGGAATCAGACGACAAAAGAGTCATTTCTAAAGTGCTTGTAAAGCCAAATAATTGTTTTCCAATTGTACTTAGTCTCATCTATTAATAAAGGTAGTAGTGACATCCTTGACCTGCCCTTACAGAGAGGCTTTGAATTTTGCAATTGTAGAAATAAAATTTTTGACAACCATGCAAATCAATAAAGTCTTGCTAATGTCTTTTAATATCATATAAAGGTTTTTTTTTTTTTTTTTTTTTTTGAGACAGAGTCTTGCAGTGTCATTAAGGTTCATTACTGGAACAATCATTGCAGAGCCAGAGGAAATTCTTAGAAGACTTCCCTTGGCTGGCCTTTCCCTAGGCATAGCTTTTTCCCCTGTAATCGTGTGTAATGTTGTTTACAATATTAAATCGTAGCCATGAGTATGACTCATATGAGTCTTTCCAGAGAATCACTGAATTGGCATGTGATTGTGATTCACCTGAGACAGTTCCCATGCCTCATTTCTAACTTGGACTCTATCTCAATTCAGCAGGCCATTTCTGTCTAGTTCTACATCTACTGCAGCCAGGATTTGTATCATCTACCACCCTCTACTCAGCTTCAAAGGAAAACCCCGGCCCGTTTTATACGTGCCTACTAATCCTTTTTAACACCATCCCCTATCACTTGAAATTATTCTTCAGAAAATAGATAAAAAACTTACTTTCAGGAGAGTGGAGAGAGGAGAAGAGGAAATATCAGTGAAAAGTAAGCAGCATGCTGAGTAAACTGTATGCTGTCTGAACAAAGCTTCCAGCAACAAAATGAATTTATCTTTTATTAATATTATATCCATAGAAACAGTTCTACAAATATTCTACTTCAATCCCCAACATATTTACAATTTAAGAACAAACTATTAGATTTGGAGAGAGGTAGTTCTTTGTTTGGAAGCTATGAAGAATAATATTTCTTGGAGTTATGAGTGTAATATGAAATGCTTCTTGGGCCAGGATAGCTAGGTTCTATAGGGTGATGTCTATCTCTAGGTAGCTAAGGTCTTAGACTGGGAACAGATATAAAGGAAGCCTGGACCAACACTGGTTGAATGTCCTAAGCTTGTATTATGTGTTATTCTGGACAACTGGCAAAGACCAATAATAATTAGTAATAGCCAGCTCTATCTGGCACATGAACAGCTGATGCTGCTCTGTTAGTCTATACCCCAAGGATTAGATGTGGGATTCCATAGACAGCAAGAATCAGAGATTTATAATCCTAATCACTTGGCATTATACTCAAGGCAGGGGGCCTGATAAGGTCCCAGCTGCACCACCATCCGCAGAGCTTGTGTCTCTTTCCTGGAGTTTGGTAAGTGGAAATGCTTTAGGCTAGGTTAGGTCAAATCATATCATGTGTGTACCTGGGATGGGAGTCAAGGGAAGTAATAAGTTATCTCAAATATGGTGTCAAACTCTGTATGAGGATTTCTGAGGCAGAAAGGACACATATTAGAGGTATACAGGATCTCTACTCTCTTATATGATATATTCTGTAATTTTCGGAAAGGTTCCCTGACCACTCTTCTCTCACTCAACCATCACTCAATTCTCGACCTTGGGATTTAAGATCAACTGCAAGTCAAACTATATTTATGTATAACACATATTGAATAGTTGATAAATAATTGGTATAAGAAAGAAAGGATGTCAGAGGGAAGAAGGGAGGAAAGTGGAAAGGAAAATGAGAAATAGGTTTTCTAATTTTCACACAACTTTGTAAGGCAATACCAAATAGCTACTGTAGAGACTTTCAAGATAAAGAACTACGTGGAAAATTTATTTGAAAGAAATAGTTCAACAGACTGGTAATATTGATCTCAAGCTATAAGATTCACTTTTAAAAAGCATAATACTTCTGAGCTTACTCTGAAGATTATACAACTTTATTTTCATTGTGCTTCTAAGGGCACTACAAGAAAATCCAGGATTCCATTTTTGTAGTTTTGGTACCATTACCGAGATCTATATAGCTAAAAAGCCACATCAGATATGAGCAATGTAGCAATTCGGGTCTCAGAATATTGGATATTTATTTTGATTTTTTTTGAGATGGGTCTCACTATGTTTATTAGGCTGGTCTTGAACTTACTCAAGCAATCTTCCTCTCTGGCCTCCCTAGTAGCTGGGATTACAGGTAAGCACCACTACCCCAGGCTGCACATTTAAAAAACAAACAAACAAACAAAAAAATACCTCTAGAATTTGTAAAAGTTATGCGGTCTTTTTCAAGTACCAGGTATTATTCAAGGAAATGCCATCCACTCAGAGCTTAGGAAGAGACAGGATGGAAACTGTGGAGGGATCATTATTAAGAGAGAAGCATGCATTAGCTTATCCTGCACACTCAGACCTTTGTGTAAGAGGTCCTACCTTCAGTTCCTTGTTAACTCCTGTCATTTTAAATTTATGTATGAGCAAATTTGGACATTTTATGTGCCTTTTCTTCCTGTGCAGATCAATCTCAAAGTTGTACTGTTGCTCCTTACTAAGCTTTAAATGACGAAACATTGAACATACAAAAATGCTTTTAAGACTATGAGATTAAAGGAAATATCCAGGTGGCTAATTTAATCAGACAACAATGCAGGATAGAAGAATTTAACAAAGCTAAATGCTAGATACTCAGTTTTTAAGTGAGAGCTTAGCCTACTTCTCCAATAGGCACAATAGATTTTGCAGGAAGGTAGATTTCCTAATTACTTAAATGTCACAATTGAATGAGCTGCTTTCTGAAACATATACTTTCACTTTATTTTTTGAAGACATTACAGAGTTAATTTAGTAGAAGATCTTGAAAAACTCAACATTTTAATTACAAAATTTTTTGGCAAAGCTCATATAAAGAAGATAGTATTTTCACTGCTCACTTTGTGACTGAAAACATCTTACCAAAGTTTCATGTGGGAGGAATAATTCCCCAATATGTTCACACACAGAAGTGGAAAACACTGGGAGAAACAGGCAAATACATGCTTCTAACCTCTGTGGGACTGTATCTACTGAGTCATTAACACTCAGGACCTTGATCAGGTTTTCTATAATACCACATTCTTCTCATAACTAATTTTTGCAGCTAACATAGGTAGAATCCTATTATTCTGATAACTACGCTCTATCAGAATTTGTCTGTGTATACACCAAATTTTAGCAACTCACAACAAAAACTAAGCTCTCCTCTATTAATGCTACTTTCTCAAATCTGATAAATCTATCTCTGTGTTTTGTTTTCTTTATGAGTGACTATGATTTTCCTTCCTCCACCACTTGCCCTATAATTATTGCCTGTACTGTTTACAGTCCAGTTAACATTCTTGTTTCAATTTAGACACCTTGGCTCACCTTTCACAGAATATCTACTTTGGATTTTCTTTAAAATAACAGTTGCCATGTGAAATGGAGATTATAAAAGTTTTTAATGACTTTGTAGAGCAGCATTAGAATTATTTGGTGGAAAAGAATTAGATATGATGCAAGAGATTGTTCTACTAGACATAGATGCTGCATAATATACTTTATAGAAAAATGTTGAGATTGCCGTTTTATAAGAAATGCTTTCTAGAATGTTTAGAAAGGAAATCACTATTCAGTGTGGAATTTAGACATGTGACCAAGGTTTCCTTGGAACTCTAGGTACTTAAATTTCACACTTTATTTTTTCTTTAGTAAGTATCCTTGATGGTACCCAGGTCATTCTTATATAAGTGAATGATGTAGAATAGGATGTAGATTCACAGTTAGGAACTTTTATCTGTCTAATGGTTAATATTCTCTTGAACTAGATTATGTATGTGTTCTATGTTGACCAGTGGGTTATTAGGTTTTCAAAGGCAGAAATTACATATTGCCTATCATTGCGTTACTAACATGAAGTACATGACCAGAACTCAGTAACTGAGTGATACCATTGACAATATATTTTGCTTCTAATTATAAATATAGTTTAGTTTTTATCTTCTTCCTTCTACATATTGGTACCAGGTACGATTTTTAGAAAGCACCCTGTAGCAAAGATTAGGAAGGAATTTAAATCAAATCAACATACATCTCAAACCCAAACCTCTCTTGATGTCTTACTGTCATGGTTTTAACTTAGAATGTCCTGGATCTCTTTCAGGAAAAATGATATATCTGGTAATATCAGGAGTTTAGAGTCAGTATTAATTACTTACACTTTACATTTTAACTCCCAGACAGCAATTAAAAACAATTCTCCATATCTGGGTGTTTCAGAAACTTACTTATATTCTGATACCCCCCCCAAAAAAAAAACCTAGGTCCTACACATAAGTCCTATGTTCTCAGCATGAGGTTGTCCTTTGCAGTTTCAAACTTGGAAATATTTCCAATAAGAGGGAGATTGTTTTTCATTTTTATGACCTGAATATGCTTTTGAAAACTAGAACAAATTACTATGAGGGTCAGACTTGTTTCATAGTAGAAACCTTTAAAGAAATGAAAACCAGTCATATGAGAAAAGGCAGGACAATATTACTCTGCAGGAGAAAGCAATAGATGTCATGTGAGACGAGATATTGGGAACATGCTGTAAAAAAATAGATTTTTTCTGTATTTACATCTTTCCAGGGCAATTGCTTCCTAGAGTTATGGTAATTTCTAACAACAATAACTTCACCACCTTCTTTTTCATATTGATGGATGTCCCAGGACTGGAGACTGCTCATTGCTGGACAGCTATTCCTATCTGCTTGATCTATGCTCTTTCTGTGTTGGGCAACGTTACCATAATGTACATTATCAAGTTCACACCCAGCCTCCACTCACCCATGTACCTCTTCCTCTCTATGCTCTCAATGGCTGATCTGGGTCTCTCAGCTTCTACTCTGTCTTCAATGGTAGCTGTCTTTCTCCTGGGCCAGCGGAGGATGGGAGCTGCAACCTGCTTTACACAACTTTTCTTCATTCACACTTTCTCAGTCATCGAATCAGGTGTTCTGTTGGCCATGGCTTTTGACCGCTGTGTGGCGCTCCAAGAGCCCTTGCGCTATGCCACCATTCTCACAACCAAGAGCACTGGGGCAATTGGGCTGGCCATCTTGTCTCGAAGCTCCTCCACTTGCCCTTGCCTGTGCTCCTTGGAAGACTGCAATTTCAGCCTACAAATACTCTGTCTCATTCTTACTGTGTTCATCCTGATGTTCT